CATTCTGAAGTAATTTATTTTATTTTTGAAAGTATCCATTTGGTTTAAACCTACTAAAAATTATTATGCAAATATCCAGACAGTACAAATTATTTCCACAAAAGTGAATGACATCTTGGCAAAAGATAGATTGATGTCTGTACAACAGAAAGACTTCAGTAACACCCAGGGAGTAAATATACTCAGCTTGAAACTTAAGACTCAGAACTGATTTCTTTGTACTATCTTTACCCAGGATTGAAAATTTGTGAAATCAGTTGTTTTCTTCCAAGTTAGCTATTGACATCCTCAGCAAATAATATTCTTAAAGAATGGGATATCTTTAGAGTAAAATTTAAGGAATTCTGAATAGGCAAAATAGTTAATGTATATAAATTCCAATTGTGGAAATGAAAGCTATATTTAGAGCAGTATTGCTTTGCTCCCTGCTATTAGTTTTACAATTGTGAAATGTTGAAATATTTTTGATTCAGTGATGACATAACTTTAGAATACCAAACAAACAACAACAACAAAAAAATACCCTTTACCCTACTAAGCATCACAGTAGTTTTTAAACTGAATTATCAGGAAACCTAAGAAATTATGCAACACCACATTTTATATGTTGAAGAACATAGAATGTTAGCTTTAGGTTGGTTTTCAAATATTTCCAAATACAAAACTTGAAAGCATATTATCTTTTATCTGAGAGATGATAATAGCATGATCCCTATTTGATTCACCTATCAATGTAATAAGGGATTTTAACTCTAAGTTTACTGATATGTCCAGATAGTATGTCTTCTTTGCAATAGTAATAGGCTTTTATATTATATAAATCTAAAATCTGTGGCTACAGAAATAAAATGTTTGTTCACATTGTGGAGAAAGAAATTTCTAACCTTTTGTAGTATTTCCACAGATACTCATTTAATAGATTAATTGTGTATTATCTGTATAGCATTTGAGGTTGATCTATAACATATCTGCGTTTTAATAGAGATATGATGTCACAATGATATTCTACTGTACTTAGAGAAATATTAAAATCTTAGCATCAGTAGAATAATATCAGTATTTGCTTCCTCATAGATGATTGTAGCCATGAAAATTAACAAATTGTTGAGGGCCAGTTATTAGTTTTGGCCATTTTAAATGTTACTATCTATCTCTTAACCACTTTCATTGCATTTTTGCTGCTAAATAACTGAATTCTCTACTTCCCTTTGTCTGTATAGCCCTAAGAAAATGAATTCCATATACTTTGTGCTATAATTGCAGTTTTTTTAGATGCAGATTTATTAAAGGAAAGAAAGATTTTACTGTAAAATCTAGATTTGTGTCTGGTAGAGATTTTTTATGGGATTCTTCTATAGGTACTGATTTTTTTTCCTGAAATATGCTTGTGTTTAATGGGGGAAGAAAGGAATAGTAGAAATCGAATAAGAAAGAAGTGCTGAATGAAAAGCTCTATGATTAGTAGAGACTGAAAAACAGAATACCATAAAAGCTATTGCTTTATGAAGAAACAATAGTATTTTAAAATATGACAGCTAAATTTTTATAATATGTAAGTTGACATAAGTTTGACTAAATAGGACCCTGGCAGGCATATATATAATAAACTTCCATCTAGAAAAAATATTTTTATGCTCTAAAGTTGTATGTGGTGGGTGTCACTAGCTATATTTGTCTTGTTTTAAGGAAGTATTTGATTATGTGTTTTGATTTTCTCTATCACACATCTGTGTATACATATAAGCTTGATACTTCCTTAAATAACAAGTGTTTATGATTTTGGTTCTTACAATGTATCTGTAACTCACAGACAGGTCAGATGCTCTATTTGCATATAAATAAGGCTTGTTGTCAAGATGTACTCTTTATTTTTCCTAACAAAGCCTACAAAATTATTTATAAACTTTAAATATTTTTTGGCCTAGAAGAATGATTTTCTTTTCCAGTGTCTGTGTATGTGTTTACACATGAGAACAAAAAAGAGAGAAACCATTAAATTAGGTTACTTTATCTTATTTTAAGCCAAAATATTGGAAAAATTAGATCTGACATACTGGAAAAAAACATCATAGAAAAACATGCTCATGTGTATATATAAAAATATGCTCACAAAAAATGTAGCAAAAAATAGAAATTTATGCTACCAATATGCACAGTATATTGGTATTTAGTATAACCTATACTAAAAAGGGAGTGAGAGGGATCAGTACATGGCTACTAAGTGCATCTTGTTCTTTGTTCACTTTTCATTAATAAAAATGAAATGCATATGAACCAATTAAACATAACAATTGAGAGTTAGCTGAGAGTGACAAATCATAGATATCATATTTAGTAAAAGTGGGTGTTTTGCATAAACTAAATCTTTTTACTGTTTCTCCTAAAAATAAATAAATGCAAATGTCTAAAATTCTTCACTAACCTTTACTTTCTTATTGGAACATATCCTCTTTCAAATGAATTATAGTTATTGATTTGTGACTTCTTGCCCACAACACAATGCTTTGTTCTCAATTCTTAGGATTATTAAACATTTTTATTTTGAGTGGCAAAATTGGCAAGTTAGCTAAATTTTATTAAAATTAATGGGATGTGATCTAATTTTATGGACTTAGCAAAAAATAATAGAACTGAGTCAAAAATGTAGAATGTGTGGTTAATCAACATTACTATAATGCTTTGTTGTAAAAAAAAAAAAGTCTTGTTTAGCTGTTCACAAGAAATAAAAGCCAATTTGAGTAGCTTTATTAAAATGGTTTAGGTTGATAAAAAGCAACTAGTAGCAAACCTCACAATAGAGTATTAAACAATGATTTAAGCACACTGTTGATAATCAGCCCTTTCAATAAGAATTGTAGAAGCAATATCTTTCTTCAATGGCTTCAGATATTAGTGAATGCAGTGCTTCATCAGAGTGATCCAGAGAAACTGAGATTTGGTTCAAAGGCCAAAAAACTTAATAAATGAAGGCTGACTTACCTTCTCTAGAAGTTTATTACATTCTTTCATTCTTTAGACTCTTTTTTCTTAAAGATATAAAACTGGACTGGTGTACCTTAGTAGTAAGTCTTAAGTCTGAAATAATAGACTGCATTATAATATTTTCATGTAGTGAAGCTATTATGATACCAACATATCACATAGACAATAATGGGTATCTAATTCTGCTATTCTTAACCCATGCTGGGCAAGAAAATCTGCTTTTGAATCATTAAAAATTGAAAAAAAAAATGATGGACTTGACTATTCGGTTATCTCATTTTAGAACCGGAAAGCTCTCTGCAGTTACATAAAATATCCTTTCCAGGATCTGGTTCTCCATCCCATTACATCCCACTTCATCTCTCATTTCAGCAGCTCCTGCTGCCACACTCTCTATGCTTAGCATAAAACAAACTAAGTTAAGTCACAGTGGGGTGCCTTTTGTGAGGCCACTCAGAGTAGGAAGAAAGAAACAAAGAGCAAGATAGAGCTGGAGAGAACATAAAGAAAGCAAATAAGCCACAAAAAAGGAGCGGTAAGGGGGCAGGCAACAGCTGTGAGTCAAGAATCATAAAAATCCACATACTTGAATTTTGCTAGTGTTATTATCAGTCTTCTCTGTTTGGAGACATTGCCTTCAGAAAGCTAGAAACGCAACTCGAATTCTGAAGGCTGTTTTCGCCTTTCTTAAGTTCCTCCTGAAGGTAAAGACTCATGACAAAGCTGCATCACCTAACTACAGCTTTTGAGTGTAGGCAGGATGGTCACTTTTCGGGAAAGGTGTTCTCTGCACTTCATGTCCAAAGTGCTCTAAGGTGCTTCTAGAGGGAGCTTAAGAACTTAATAGGCTCAGGGAAACCTTCACCGCGGGCGGTCCAGTTGCCTGCTCAAGGGAGGCCTGCGCCTTAGAGAAGCCTAATCCAAGACCCTTCGTTCTTTTTACGAGGTGGTCTGGGCAGGCACTACGCTGCTTCTCCTAGAGGTGGAGGTGAAACTGGTTCCCCGCTGCTACACCCCAGCTCTCCCCGGCTTCCTGGCTTCTTAGCTCTTTCGCCACAGTCAAGCCGCTTTTCAAAAATTGCCACCTGTTCCTGCCCCCTTTTCCTGCCCTCAAACTGAAAAGTGAACTCGTCCTGCAGCAACCTTTTCAGGCAGAGCAGCCTAGTGGCCAGAGCGGGGGGGGACTGGCATCTTTTGGTGGTAAGCTCGTAAGCTCTAGGACGTTACCATCTTCCTCCTGAAGCACTGACCTTCCTGGATGGAGAAATCACCCCCCCCCTTCTGTCCAACTGGCAGGACTGGTAGGATTCTGACAGCATCAGGTTCTTCTGCGTCTGCCCTCAGTCCGGGCCCCGAGGCTCTGTCTTCTCTAGGGGAGCCTTACCTGGGCATGAAGCCGCGGGCACAACTGGCATTCCGCCACGGCCATGGCTCTAACCTCTGGCACTCCCTAGTACCACCTGGTAGAGTCAAAAGTGCTGCTTAAACGTGCAAACGCAAACCCCTCCTACATGTGTGGTTTAATCACTTCTCCGCGGCTCCAAGGCAGGCGGTGGATTCTGCGCCTGGGAGAAGCGATGGGGGAACGCTGCCTGCTTGTGCAAAAATAACCCCCAAAGACGCGGGCCAAGTACTCGGCTGGATACTCCGCATCCCGTGGAGGCTCGCTGGGCTACAGGCTGTCCCCCGGGATCCCCGCGGGTCTAGGTCCGCTCCCCCTCTGTACGCCGGGCGGCCGGAGCCAGCCGACGCCGACTTTGGGAGTTCCTTTCTGCCTTGTATGGAGGGCTGTTCCTGGCCCGTCTCCGCCCGGCTGCTCTGACGCCCAGCCCTCCCGCTGCCCACCCCCGGCCGCCTCCCTCTGACTTGCCGGGCGAAGCCAGACGGAGCCTCTCCCCGCCACAAGTCTCTCTGCCAGCCATTCCCCTATTCCTGCATCCACCCCCACCCCTCTCCCCAGCGACGCCACCCCTCCCCCGCCCCCGCCCCGCCCCCGCCTTCTCCGCGACAATCAGGGGAATAAATCAGGGAGGAAACCGAGAGGGAGAGATAGCGACTGGGCGCGAGCGCCGGCGGGCTCGCCCAGGTCTCTTTCCAAAGTCGCCCTTGATGGCGGCGGAGGCGAGGCGGCCGCCGCGAGGACCAGCCTACGCGCGCTAGCGGGTCCCCCGCCGCCGCCCCTTCCCCCGGCGCGGCTTCGCCCCCGCCGCCCCTCGCCGGAGTCCGCGCCCCGGGCTGGGCGCGCCGGCCCCAGACGCCCCGCGTTCCGGCCGCAGTGTGCTGCTTCTCCTCCCGCCGTTTGAGCCCGTTCCTTCCCGCGGCTGGGGAGGGAGGCGGGATTGATCTTCGATCGCGAAGATGGCTGCTGGCTGCCTGCTGGCCTTGACTCTGACACTTTTCCAATTTTTGCTGATGGGCCCCTCGTCGGAGGAGCCGTTCCCCTCGGCCGTCACGTAAGTCTTGGGGCCGGGCCAGGCAGGGCCGGGAATGCGGAGCGAGGGGTTCCTGGGAAATGGGGCGCCGGGTCTGTTCCCGAGTTTGGGGCTTTTCTGCCCGTGGGGGTTGGGAACGAGCCCGGCTCGGATCTGGAGAGGCCGAGCGGGAGGTGAGCGCGGCTCGCGGCTGCGGGGAGCCCCGAACCGACGTCTCGCGCGCCTCGCGGGGCCGGGCTGTCCCGGGAAAGGTCTGCGGGCGACTCGCGGAGCCTCAGTCCGTCTCGAAAAGGTTTCTTTATACTTAAGACAGTTGGGTTGTACCAGGGGGAAAAAGTTTGCCGTCTGATACCCACTGTCATCAGACCCAGCCCAATAGAAAGTTGTGTTTTGATTGGGTATTTTACAAATAGACATTTTCCGACTTGCCAGGGGGAGAGTGGACTTCTCCCACGCCTAGCCTTCGGGATGCTGTCTAATTTCTGTGGTGTCCAAACTCTTTTAGAGCCCAGGTTTCTGAGCGCACTTGTCAGCCTTTCTGATCAGAAGCTTACTGGCTCCCGGGAGCAGAGAATGCTGTCCATCCTGGGGGTTCGCAGATACTAGGACCAAGCGATCCAACCCCTGTAACGCTTTATTTGAAACGTCTAAGTGTCGACACACGCGCGGTTCCTGTTCTTAGAATTAACAGAACCTATTCTTTGAGGGAGGAACCGAGCGTTTCCTGCAATTTTCTTTTATTTTTAACATTTCTAAAATAACTTAAAAAAAAACCTCGCTTCTATTCTGGAACTAGAGAGTTTAAAGGTAGCTATAGAGTCACATGGCAGGAAGGGAATGAAAAATAACAATTCTTTTCTTAGGCTGGAAAAAAGAATTAAAATCGGTAGCACATAAAAATGTATACATATTTTAAAATGCACTGAATAGCCTATCAGGCATTCTGGGAAAGCGTTTATTTTAATTCTTGAAGCTACTTTAAAGCTTCTAAGAGTAGGTAATCTTAAGTGGATGAGTCACTTTAATGCATTTTACATAACAAAAACAAAGCCCTAGGTAGCCTTCCTGGTATATATACAGTTGGGAATTATTTGCTGTCCTTTGTTGGCCAAGTGCTGAATATTGGAGTTTCAGTGGATCCTTACTGAATCTTACCAGTTGAAACCCTGCAGCTATTATTTAAGATGCAGCTTAACGTATTTATTGCTTTAGGTCAGTGTAAGCACGTCCTAACCAGGAGAAGGGGGATGCCTAATATTTTTTGTCAGTGATTTACAGTAGTGTGCTTTTTAAGATAATCTTCCATAAAAATGATTGCAGATTTTTTTTGTTATGAAGTAAAAGGGTAAATGCCATCTGTAGATCTTCGTTTAATTGGCAGGATGTTCCATGTGGATATTTTGAAACATAAAAAGAATAAGAATTACCCAAAAGATGTTTCAAAAATATTCGTTCTTAATAAGAAATTACACTTTGATTGATTCAGTTTTTAAGGCTTTTTGTAGCTTGGCCTATAAAGGAAGAACTCAAGTGACTTGCTTGCATTTTATGTCAAATAAAGTAGTGGCTCTTTAAAAAGGAGTGACTGTGTTCAGTTTACACATTTTTAGTGTTATTTTTAACTGACATTTTATCAATATTTCTATCATTTGTAGGGAATGCATCATCACATGGGGGGGGGGTGGAACGGCACCATGACTTTTCAAAATACCTTTTATTCCTTATTGTATCAAGGTAAAAAAATAGTATCAAAATCTTTATTGTAAGAAGGGCATTTACAGTGAATATTTTCCTAAAATTAAGATGACTCAGTTTTCAGAGGTACAAATTGACTGAAGACAAGAAACAAAATTGTGGGCAAAAATAGGAATTTGGAAGCCAGAATTTCTTTTCCCTGAAAGGATTTAAAATTTCTTTTTTAACAATGGAAATTTAAGATACTTTCCAACTTTATGAAACATAATTTCATGAAATAAGAGCTTAATAAAATATTTTATAGAACTGAGTCAGTCTTGTAGGTAATGTTAGCAATGTTTTTAAGATTGTTAGAAAAATTAGTGACACCGTTTTCTGGAGAGAATAGAAATGATAGTTGACATTTGTACCGCTTGTTAGATTTCTGAATAAACCTTATGAATTTAAAAAAATGCAGTGTTAATTTCATCAAGATGTGGTACCATTTGCTTTTCTTGTAATAAGATTCATATGTTTATCAAGATAAATCTCAGATCTTAGGAGAAATTTTCAAGTTGTTCAAAAACTTGAATATAACCACTACAGATTTTATTAGAGACAAATTATTATACTTTGATATATACAGTTCTCTGGATATTATTAATAAATTCTCTTGTTTTTGATATTATATTTTTGAGAAAAAATAATAAAAAGTTTTATCAGAAGAAGAAAAACATGCTATCAACATACTGTAAAATAAATTATGCACTTGTAGGAGTGGATCCTGAATTAGTAGTTTAATTTTTTTTTCTTTTTAAATAGAGTTGTTTACGTAATAGTATGCTTAAATTTTATTACACTAGAAGATATTCTAAATAGCTTCTTTAATATTCTGCTCTCTGACTTGCATACATTCTCATGTAGCACATTCTTCTGGATTAGCACGGTAGTTAAAAGTTAAAGGTTGATTTTCAGTTGAGGAATTTTTATATGATTTTCCCCCTGACTTAGGCTGTTCTTTTGGAAATGATTGTTTTAGTAAGATTGGAAACAAATCTGCCATATGGTAGAAACCACCTAATGCTTATTGGTTTAAGTATAAATGGAAAAGATATCGGTTTCATATTATAGAATGCAAATGTTACAGTTTTCACAAAGGATAGCTCTCTTGTTCTGGAATTAATTTCTTGGCACATATGTGAAGACACTTCTATTTTGAATCTCTCAGGATAATATGTATGGTAGGCAGTATTGTAATGTTAATTTAAATCGGTCCCTCTTAATTTTAGAATCTCTTGACAGGTCCAGTTCTTTTAAAGAAACATTTTTGTTACAACCTCTATTCATGCTAAACTTTTATCTCAGTCATATCAAAATGCCAGTCAGGAACACTTGATTAGAGCCCATTGATATATGGGAATTTTAATGTAAATAAATAATGGGATAAGTATATTAGTAAGAATTAGTGGTGTCAACAGGAATTAAACATAACATCTCATAAAAGAATGGTAGTTACTTGAATGATATAAAACTTCTGTTATAAGAGAGATGTGTAATTAAAAGCTATAGAAATTTCTCCATGAAAGGACATTGGAATGGTTATCTTTTTCCCAGTATTAGAAATGACAAATACTCTTATTTGAACTTAACAATTTCTGTTCATGTACAACATAGACAAAAAATGTGCTTTATCATGAAAATATAAGATAAATTATCAATTATAAATAAAGCTTAAAAGCAATGAACATTAATAAATTCCTTTCTCAGATCTTTAACTGGTTCTCAACAGTTTAATCACATGACATTATTATTCCACAGGTGCAGGTTTAAATATGAAACAGTAGATATTTTTCCAATGTAAGTATAGCATTATGTTAACTTTATTTATGTTTACACATAGGTATATGTATAGCTATTTGAGTAGGCGTCTAAATGAATATTAGGCAAACTGAAAAGGGTATAATTTAAAAATATTTTCCTTTTTTTAAATATGTGGTTTATAAAAAGAAAATAAAATGTGCCTTTATAATTTTTTCATGGCCTTCTCTAATTTGATTTTAATTTAGTAAATATACAGAATTTCAGAATCTAAAGCAAATTGTTCATTTTGAAAGTAGATAAAAAACTATTATTGGCTATCTTTTTTTGTCAAAGAAACCTCAATATATAGACACTTTTCTGTTATGGCTCCAACACTGATAAAATAATAAGATATTCTCCCTTCTAGGATTTACATATTATAAGACTTTGCAAAACATAAACCCTGCATGCAAAATATGTATTTTATTCAAATTTAGTATTTATATTAAAACATGTATTCATAAGAAATAGCGATGCATTTTGGAATTTTTAAAATAATACTTAATCTTTTAACTATAATAAACTGTTTTTTAATGTTCTTTCTGTAGTACCTATATAAAACAGAAAATTTTGTCCTTTTCTCAAATTTTCAATAAATTATAAATTTTCAAGAAGGTAACTTCTTCTCTGAGTTCACATTCTATTTCTTAGTATGTGTCTTCAATTTATGTCTTTGAATTGCCGATGCAAATGGTTAAGGTGAAATGTATTTTATGCAATTTGTGTATTTACTTCACTTTCTTGTATCTATGGATATAACCAGTTCGAACATAAAAATACTTAGAAATTTGAAAACTTAGAATATTTTGGTATTTCTAAAAATTAACATTATATCATTAACCTGTTACCCTTCCATCATTTATAGTAAAAGAGCTGTCTGTAAATACAAGAGCTGTGTCTGTAAACACAAGTATTTCAGAATGCATGGAGACAGCTTATCATGGGGAACCAACTATTTTTCTGTTGTGTTCCATCCACTCCACATTGCTTAAGGCTTATAGTGCACATCAGCATTCTGTCACACTGTGCCAGCCAGTCCTCCTTTCATGGACTATCTTTGCATAACACACAGACCTTTCATATGGTTGCTTTCTAGTAAACTTGGAACTGCACCAGGATTGCCAACTATGTAGTTTACACCATCCATTTTTCTTTTGTTTGCACAAATATGAAAATGGTTGTCATATCGTTCATAGAGTCGAATGAAAAAAATCATCGATTTCTGTGTCAGTTGAGATCAAAGCGATAGCGCCTTGTGAAAAGTCTTGTATTTTCCACCTTTTTCCCTTTAGACCAAAATACTAGCATTGCATGATTCAATAATTTGCCTAGTTTACACACTATTATAATATCTATTTAATAGATGTGTTTAATTGGGTAAATATATATTTATATGAATACATGCGTGTGCAGACTTGTATTTTTTTAAACATATTCAAGTGGTTTCCAAGGGTAGAAAAATCTTAGAAAGTTAACTTTACTAACAA